TTAATTTACTATTATATTATTATTATACAATTTGCATGTTAGCTATATTATCTTATTTATGTAATTAGCTGCAACCGGGTTACACCCATTTGCAATTTAAAGACATTTATCTTTATCTAATAGCAGCACGCTGCCTCCACCCAACTCTCAGTACCCCCACTTCGTGAAGCTTCCACTGCATGCACCAGCTACGGACGGACTCGGCGGTAGTCCACGTTACAACCCATTCCAAAAATGGCAGTATGTTTGTTTCGCAGAATCGGGCACTTAAAACTAAATTCGTCCTCCAAAATTACGCTAGTGGTATGCACAAATTAAACGAGTTGATTTATAACAAGTTTAATATTTTCTACAACTTTTTCCAATGTTTTTTCTGGAGATAGCACCGGCTAAAAATCCTCAAGGGGCAACCGCCTCTGGAAGGATGGTGTTCCCATAACCTATGGTGCGAAGGTGTTCCGCTTTGCTGATTGGTCCAGTTAGGGCTCGAAGGAGTGGGCGTCACCGGGAGATGGAGTTGGCAGATGGGTTACCTGTCAATTCGCCTCAGCTTGCAGAACGCGGACGTGGTATTATCCGATCGTCACTAGCACGCGTTGAATTGCTCAAAGAACTGGCAACGTGTAAAGTCTTGCGCCCCAATCAGAAGAGCGCGAGTCGGATGGGGACGGCGGCGATGTATCCCGGATGCAGAATTTAATCAATTTATTGTGATAGTAGCCTGAATCAATTCAGCAAGTCTTTCTCAATTACGTAGCCCTCGAACTTTCGTTAGAAAATAAAATGTATTTTTGTTTAAGCCGCCCGCCGACTGCATGTCCTCTCTCCACGTGAGTATCTTTTCATCTCGCGAGTTTTCCGTTTTGGCTCTCCGTCAGGTTTGTTTCCTACTCCTTCCTAAGTGCTCGTCTGCCTAGCGTTTCTCGTAGTTGGTTTCATTTTCGCGGGAACTGCTGCAGTGTCCTTAATGGCTAATCTTCCCGCTCGAAAGCAACTTTCTAGAACATTCTGAAATTCTGGAAATGTGATTGGTAATGATGATGTCATGTGATTCAGGGATATAAACTTTTCTTAAATAATCTGGTGAGTTTGCCGGGAGCCAGTGGGCGAGATGATTTCAAAAGAAGATGGTGATTGTTGCCTGTGTGTTTGAAATAACTCGGAGCCTTTTATTAGGCATATTGACGTAAGGATGTCGTGACAAATTTCACGTGAGGTTCTACGGGAATCGAACCCGGAATGTCAGTGGCGAGCAACTTTGCTACTGAACCTATCCTTGAATCCTATCGAACACCTTTGGGATGTTTTGGAACGCCGAGTTCGTGCCAGGCCTCATTGACCTACATCGATACCACTTCTCAGTGCAGCACTCCACGAATAATGGGCTGCCATTTCCCAAGAAACTTTCCAGCATGTTATAGAAAGTATGCCTGCGAGAATGGAAGCTTCATCAAGACTAAGGGTGGGCGTACATCCTGTTGAATTCCAGCATTACCGATGGAGGGCGCCACGAACTGGTAAGTCATTTTTCAGTCACGTGTCCGGATACTTTTGATCACTTGTATATACAATAATAACATTTTTATCAGAAACAAAATAAGAGAAACAATAAAGGATTTCTTGCAGTGTGGCATTCTTGCCGTGCAATGTCAAGGGCCGTCGAAATGTAGTGCCCACAGCGCAGGTTGACGGCCGGCCGTGGCAGGCCACAGATCCTTATCAGCAAGGCAGGAGAGGAAGCAGAGGCATTTTGGGTGGGGATATTAAGGTTTGGGCGAATGTTAGTCATTACATATTTTATAAAACGTCGCAGGCCACACACAGCCCATGCAGCGATACGTTTTCATTCGTTTTAATGATTATCCGAAAGTATTTTTGGCGCTTTCGTGACAAGTTAAAGTTAATAGTTACAGAAACATTTTAGGGGGGATTTGCCCTCATTTCTCTCCCCGTGGATCCGCGCCTGAGCAACGTGAGGCGAGCAGCTAGGCCCATCGATGGCAGCGTACGTCGCACGCTGCTAGACAAGGCCGGACAGAAGAGGTGCCGGCAGCGGTAGCCTTTCGGG